CCCCCTCTCCATGCCCCCATGCTCCGTCTCTTTACTGCTTCTCTGGATAAGGTCCCGCATTCTGCTTGTGCTCTTCTCCCTTGATGGTCCTAGGGTCTTCGGTTTCTGGACTGTTAGATTAACCACTCCCCTGGGTGTTTTGTTTGTTTGTTTGTTTGTTTTTCCACTCCCCTGTTTTTGTTACAAAACTTCTACCTTTATAATTGTGACAGTCACAATTAGTCACGGTAACAATTATTGACTATTGAATCATATGAATCTTATCCCCATCTCTTTCCACCAGACCCATCTAGACAATATGAAATCTATTCGGTGGGGATGGTTTCTTTCACCCCATAAACTAAACTTCCTCTTGAAACCTTGTAAGCCAGTCACTTCGTGCCTTTATCGCCCCTCATTTTAGGTAGCCAATGTCTGAGTTGCCCGTCCCTATCTACCCTGTGCACAGAGGGCATAGCATTGATACTTGATGTGAAGACTCCTTCCCACTCTGTTGGTACTTAGAGTAACTATCACTCTGAGTATAGGTCAGGTTAATCAAATTGTAGCAATTTACCCTTTTTTTCTTTATGAAAAAAAAAATTTTTTTTGTGTGTGTGTAATCTTCCTCTAGTCAAGTTCTGATTATCGAGCCATTGAGGCTATGTCAAATGGGTACTGTCTGCAAGTTTGGATGTTCTTTTGCATCTCCCCTCACTTCATATCAGCTGGATGCTTCACTCTCAGCTCTAGCCCTGTGTGGCTGTGTCCTTGTCCATGGGCTCAAGTGTCCTCAGGTCTTACCACACTTTGGACCAACCAGCTCTTCCTCTTCTCTCTCTCATTTCCAGGTCAACGGGAGTCAATGGACTGTGGTTGAACTCAGCCCATTTCTTCATTGCTGCCTTTCCCCCACTTCTACTCACCAGTAGACCAATGTGGTTGCCAGCAAGCTTACGTGCTTGTTTGTGTGTTCCCTTTGAGTTTCAGTCTTAGAGGGGATTGCTAGCCTTGATGTCTTCCTGGCGAACAGTTTGCTTATTCTTGTAGTAGAGAGTCATGCTGACATTTTTGTTTTGAGTTTTTCCTGATGATCTTTCTTTGAAGATGTATCTTCTGTCACTGTAGCTGTTCCAGGCTGGTCTGCTTGTCCTTTCTAGTGGGAATGTCCTACCTCATAAGGTTCTGGATGGGATTCAGGATTCCACCTAAGGTCCTATACTCTATAAAGGCTTTGCACGAGACCTGTACACTGGGTAAGTTCTAAAACCCCTTTTAGGTATTCTAGTCAGTTATAGGCTGAAGACGGGATTATAAGTTTTCTATAATCATGTTTCCCAATATTCCTTTCTATCCTACTCAGGTGTCTATTTTACAATAGTAGGCAAGGGAAACTAATACTCATAAGACAGTCAAGTATTTTAATATTATTTTCCCTCTCTAAACTATGCCTAGATCCCTGTATCCCAGAGCCCTGTGTTTCCAAGGTTGAGCATGCATCACTATTTGCCTCTGTCCCACTTAGGCCATGCAAACCTATTTCATTCTGTCTTGTTCTTCTACCTCCTCCCCTTTCTTGTATTGCCCTCCCCTATACCCAAACTAAACCCCCCACCCCAACCCCATTGTTGTGGTTACCTTATAGTCGATTAATTTTCCCTCCATTTAAGACAGTCTATTTTATCCTATAATCTACCTGACCTTACCACCACCAGGATCTCTGTTCCTCTGTGTTTACCTTCCTTCACATTGTAATTGTTTTGATCATAGACTGACCTCCCAGATCCTTTGTTTTTATAATTTTATTCTGTTCTTGACTCTTCCATTTGTCGACTGAGTTCAGGTTGATGCTGCCACGTCCCTCATTCTGTAGTTATTGTCTGTTCTTGTTGGTTCTCAGTTCATGGAACTTCCTTTAGGATGTTTTTCATTGCAGGGTTGGTGTTGGCAAATCCTTTAGCTTCTGTTTACCCTGGAATATTTTGATTACACCATTGTATTTGATTGACAGCTTTGCTAGGTAGAGGATTCTTGGGTGGCAGTTTTTTCTTTCAGGGTTTTATATATGTCTCCCCATTGCCTTCTTGTCTGCATGGTTTCTGTTGAGAGATCTGAGCTTAATCTGATTTGCTTGCCTTTGTATGTTACACTTCTCTTTTCCCTAGCTGCTTCCAGGATTCTCTCCTTACCTTTGATTTTGGAGAGCTTGATTATTATATATCTTGGTGATTGTCTTTTAAGGTCTATCCTTCCTGGGGTCGTTGGGCTTCTTGAATGCTTACCTTTTCACTTTTCAGGATGTTAGGGAAATTTTTTTCCAGAAGCTCTTCAACTATCTCTTCTGTGGACTTCTCTGATGCTTCCTGTTCTGGAATGCCGATAATTCTTAAGTTATTCCTCTTCATGTTGTCCAACATGAATCTTAGCCCTTCTTCAGATTTTTAAATCCGTTTTTGTGTTTGCTCTTCTATCTTAGTAGTGTTGAGAGATTTATCTTCTAACTCACTAGTTCTGGCTTCTATCTCTTCAGTGCTTCTCCTTTCCCCTTTCTGTGTATTTTCCATTTGTGATACTCTATTATTAATCATTTGGACATCTTTCTGTAGGTTTTGAATTGTTTCCAATGTTGTATCTATCTTATTTGCTTGTTCCTGTAGTGCTTTCCTGATTTCTTCCTTATTTTTCTCAACTCCATTGTATAGTGTTTTAATACATTTTATCATCATTTTTCTGAATTCCTTCTCAGGCATTTCCAAAGCCTGCCCATTTTCCAGTTTGGAGTGTAGGTCTACTTCCAGCTCATTTGTGTATTTTGTTTTTTGTTTTTGTTTTTGTTTTTATGCTTTCTGATTGCCTCCAGGTAGATGTGATCAGGAGATGGGCTTCCCTTTTCACTCTTCTTCCTGAGAAATTTCAAGATGGCACTGTTGGTCATTGTGGCGTAACTCAGAATTTAATTTTCAGCCTATTTCCTTTTTAGTCTGCTTGTCCTGCTCCACAATTCCCTTTCAGGCCTTTTTTCTAGTTATCAACAGTTCAGGGCCGGCTGTGGCCGTTTGGTTTTAAGTGGAAACTGTCACTTTAAATTTTGAGGAGATCTGTGCTCATGCATAGTAGAACCCTCCGAGGGTGGGGCTGGGGTGTCCACTAGCTCAGGCACCCCTATAGTCACCAGAATGGAGGTATGCAGACAGCAAAGAACCAATGAACAGATACCAAAAATAAATAAATCAGTAAAAATGTCCACTCCTTTATCTCTGCGGTTCTGTCAGACATTTGTGGCTGCTGTGATCCTTCTCCCTCTTGGTCTCACCCAAGATGGTGGTTCCAGGAGCAGCTGAGTGTCTTGGATTAAAAAGCATTGGATTTCTTGACTTCTGGTTTTGGAGGCAGTGGAGAAAGTCAGGTAGGGAAATCTCCATGCTAGAGAGAGACTGAGATCTTATGCAAGAAGTACTCATAGAACAACTCCAGAGCTCCGAATCTACTATAAGGTCCAGGACGTCAGTTTCCCGCACTCGCAAGTGAAAAAAATCATGATATTAAGGAAAATACTGTGAGTTAGGAATCAGGAGACAGGACTCCCTCTGTGGCTACCCAGCCCTGGCAGAGTTTAGAGGGCAGGGCTATAGTCATTCTGGCTCAGTGAACCTGCTCTAAAAGCGGCACAGAGACACTTGCATAAAGAGGTACGGGAGACTCTACACATTTCTCCTGCATTTTCACTGGAGTGCCTTCTTTGCTCAGCCAGGATGCCATCAGACAGATGGATGTGCACCCCCAAAAACTGACCCCGTAGTTCCTCCACAGTACAGAAAGAGGAAGCTTGGCAGCCACTAATGACATCAGCTGTGGCGACACAGCCCTAATATTGATTTGAGCTAGAACCTTGGTGGCTGCGTGCCTTGGAGTCAGTTCCGACTCCAGGCAACCCTGTGCTGGGTTTCCAGGCTGTGGGTCTTTGCAGGAGTGGAGCGCCTCGCCTTCACCTGCAGAGCAGCTGATGGTTTTGAGCTGCTGACCTTGTGGTTTGCAGCCCCATTCGTGGCTGCTGTGCTACCTCCGCTCCATGTGCAGGACCCTTATAATACAATCTGTAAAACCTCAACATAAGAGGACTCAACCATCCCGAGAATTGCACTGTGCACTCGCAGACACCTAACTGACCTTCAGAGATGAAAATAGTGGACAATATTTCTCACATTAACTTCTCAATATCTACCTGTGCACCTGTACTGTAGTGATTAGAGGGAGGGTCCTGAGTGAGCAGACACCCTCACCCACTGCAGGAGGCTTCTACCTTGCACACACACTGACTGTGTAGCTTGGGACAGTCGACCACAGCTTCATTTCTCTTCCAAAGTGGTGGTATTTGTCTCTGCAATTATATTACTTCTGCTTTTGGTCCTTTTGATCACACATCTTTCCAGGAGCTGGGAGCCTTTTCTCCCTATGTTACCCATGAAGAGACAGCAATCATGGCCATGTAGCCAAGTTATAAGCATACCGCAGTATATTCCACCACTGAGACAAGAGCCAACAACACCTTCTAAGCATTACATGTGAAAAGTGAAGCCTATCTCCTGATCATATTCACCAGTAAGCTTAATAACAAACAACAAACATCCAATTAAGCTTTAAAAAAAACAAAACACAACTATCAGAAATGACAAATAAAAAACAACAAACGATATCGAAACATGTCCAAAAACAGAAGAGAGTAGCTGAGACACATGAGCTGGAGATAGGAAAGGGCTTTCTAGTAGAGGAAGAACAGGTTTTAGATATGCCTGAGAAAGAGTTCAGAAGAATGATATGGAAACAAATTCAAATGCTCCAAAAAGGGGTGGAGGAAAACAAAGAAGATGTCAGTAAAGTACTACAAGAGCAATCAAATAAGAGTTATACAGCATTAGAAACTATTCAAAACCTGCAAAAAGAAGTCCAGATGATTAATAATAAGATATCAGAAATGGACAATACACTGAAAGGGGTAAGGAGCAGAATAGAAGAGATGGAAGCCAGAACTAGTGAGCTGGAAGACAAATCTCTCAATACTGGTAAGATAGAAGAGCGAGCTGACAAAAGGATAAAAATAATCTGAAGAGAGCCTACGATACATTCTGGAAAATAATGAAGAGGAACAGCTCAAGAATTATTGGCATTCCGGAACAGGAAGAATCAGAGAAGTCCACAGACGAGATAGTTGAAGAGCTTCTGAAAGAAATTTTCCCTAACATCTTGAAAGATGAGAAGATAAACGTTCAAGAAGCCGAACATACCCCAGGAAAGATAGACTCCAAAAGAAAGTCCCCAAGACATAATAATCAAGCTCTAGAAAATCAAAGACAAGGAGAAAATACTAAAAGTGGCCAGGGAGAAGAGAAATGTTACCTATAAAGGCAAGCAAATCAGATTCAGCTCTAACTATTCAGAACAAACCATGCAGGCAAGGCAATGGGGAGACACATAGAAAATCCTACAAGAAAAAAAAAACTATACCTATGGAAGCAGTAACTCAAAAGAGGGAACAAATCTTCACAGCGAGGATCACTCCCACCCCTCCACACAAGGAGAGGACAGGAATGGGCAACTTGGACATTGGCTACCCTGAATGGGGGCGGGGAGGGTTACAGAGGCAAGAAGTGACTGGCTTACAAGCTTTCAAGAGGGAACCTAGATCCAGAGGGCATGGAACAAGGTAGAATTTCCACTGAGTAGTATCCAATCTGTCTCGCTGGGCCGAGGAAAGGAAATGCGGATTGGTCTCTTGTGATACAATGGTGAGTAATTGTTATCAGGACTGATTGTGAGGGTTGGGAATGTAAAGGTATATATCTTGTAGCAAAGGGAGGGGAGGGATTAACTTTGTAGTCTAGAGGCGGAGGTCTCTGGGACCATCAAGGGAGAAGAGTGGAGAACGGAACCCTATCCAAGGAAGTGCTGATGTCAGAGATGGAGGCAGAGACAATGACGGAGCAGAGAGATGGAGCAGCTGGGGACTTTGGACCTTGAGAGGGAGAGGGCCTATGTGCTGACAACCGGGGAGCAGGCTTGCAGGGCATACCCTGTGGTTGGTGGATGATGCATGGAGGGGATTGTAACCATGGCAAGGAAATGATACATGATGAGATCAATGTGAAGGCTATGTTCTCCCATATGAACGATCACATAACTCAAAATAAAGCATCCTATATGCTTCAAAAACAAAAAAACACACAAAAAAGAAAGCAATGGATTTCTTGCTTCTGCTACCAATTCCCCTAGCTGTAAGCCTTCTAACCCTATAAATATTCCTTTATATGTGGTTCAGAATTCTGGCACCATCCCCTAAGCCTGCTTGGTCCTATATTCTGTGTTGTTGCTGATGGAGCTTCTCACTGCACTTCCACCCAATCCACCATCTTGTTTGTTCTCCCCTTCCGCATTCTTGATTGCCCTAATTTCTAAAAGAAACTCTTCCTTAGCCTTACCATCCAGTCTTAGGCAATCTGTTGTATATCTTAATTGCATTCTTTTGTACCAAGCAACTGTATAGCTTGAATGTTCTCATTACAGTATTTGTGCAATGCCTGGTACTTTTCCACCCTGTGTGAGTTCTGAGAAGTAAATCAGAGATGAATGTCTTGCTTTAGCAGCTCAACAATTTGCAGAGTTTGCTCTGCTTTCTCCAGAGCCAGTATCTAGAGTCCCAGCCAGCAACTTAACCAGGGAGAGTTTGGGGCATGAGCAAATAAAAAGTTATGAAGTTTCCAACCTTTTTGAAGTTGTGTTTCTCTTGATTCAGCATTCACTTAGCTGCTGTAAACCTTTGACCATTTTTCAGAGTTCTGACCAAGTCAGTTTTGACCATTAAAGCTAATTTTTGGATATTTCATTGAGGAGAGAGAAATGTGAGTGTGGGACTTCTCATTGTGCCATCATGCTGATGCCACTCTATTGAATTTAATATGGTATATATATATATATAGCCTTCTGTTGTAAAAGGACTCCTGGTGTGGTGCTGTAGGATTACACTGGACTGCGTATCTCAAGGTTGTTGTTGTTATGTGCAAGGTTGGCAGTTTTAAACCCACCAGTTGCTTCTAGTAAAACCTATACAGGGTAGCTCTGAGTCAGAACCAACTCAATAGTGCTTAACAAGAACAACAAATTTGTAAAAGGAGCTCTGATGGTGTAGTAGGTTATAAGTTGTACTACTAACCACAAGGTCATCAGTTCAAATCTTCCAGTTGTTCTTTGGGAGAAAGATGAGGTTTTCTGCGCCTGTAAACATTAATAGCCTCAAAAATCCTGTAAAGGGTTGCTTTGAGTTGTAACTGACTCCATGCACACAACCACCACTTCCACTATGTATAAGATAAACTCTGCTCATTGTATATCTGAGAAAGTAAGAGACTGTTCCTGCCATGAGGGTGCTACATTTGAATTGTATGCCTTCTATGTGCCAGGCATGCTCCCAGACACTGTGACTATATTATCATTCAACCTCCAGAATAATCTTGAGAAATACATAGAATGCCCTGCCTCACTCTGATTTAATAGTTTGAGCAGTTAAAACCTTGAGAATGTACATTATTTGAGCAAAGTTATATATTTAGCTAGGATTTGCACTTTGATCTATTTAAGGCATATATAAGTAACTTTGAAGGCAGAATGAGGCACTATAGTTAAAGAGACATCAAAATAGGCCATAGAAATTTAAAGCCATTGATGCCTTTGTTTTAGTTCAGGAATATTTAAGGAAGACTTCATTAAGGAGGTAGCATTTGAAGTGGACTTGTGGATTGTGAAAAAGCTGGGATTAAAGTAAATTAAATATGAAGCCAAAACCTGTCCTCTTTCAAATACTTATAACTAGAATTGTGTCAGCAATCTAATGAAATTGAAAAAGGGGTATATTACTTTGAATTATGGAAGAAAAGACTGAAAAGGAGGTCAGAACTAGAACATGAAAGACTACAGTACAAATACATGTTTTAAAATATAGAAGAAGTCATTCTAAACATGAAAATTTCCTATGGAAATGACATTGTTCTTTGACAATCTGAGCTTAGAGCCAGTATTTCAGAGGGCTTGGTGGGTTGAATGGCAATGGAGCAATTTGGAGACAGAACTGAGTGTGGGCCTACAAAGCAAAAGAACCAGGAATTGCTTTTGATGGGAGCTGAAAGAGCCCTGCTCCTGATCAACAAAATGGCATTGCACGTGCTCCCCCAAATGTTATGGAATAAAGTCCTGCTTAAGCTTCGGTCTCCTGAAAGCTTAAGTCTTTGTTACACTAAGAGGCCCTACCCCCAGTAGTTTCCAGAACATTTCCATAACTCTACTCATTAAAAGCCCACCAAAACTCTCCCAGATCCTCCCATTACTGTACCTGGGACCACGCTGCCTTAAGGGACGGGCAGACTGTCTCTCTTGATTTTGACTTCCCCCTTTCAGGTTTATTCTCAATAAACCTGCCTGCTGTTGAAGCCTCGTTTCTCTTCTTATTTCATTCTTATTTCTTACAGGAATCAATGTGTTTTCTGATTTATTTTTAGAACAAACCATTTTACAAGATGGACCCCATATCAGAAGCTGATAAAGAAAAAGCAAGAAATCAAAAAATTCCAAAACTACATAATTTATTGGATCTTGCACGGAAAGAAAAAAAATTTGTGATATTTGATCTTTTCACCCCTCCACGATCACATCCTGCCAGAAAAACATTTCTCCACAATATAATACGTGTAATCCTTGACTCTAAAATTGAGCCACATCTGGTATGTGTATCTCAGTATTTGTAGTTGAGATTGGGAGCTGGGTAGCATGTTCCAGGAGCACAGTAATTGGACTGACCAATTGTGTGGATCCCTTTAGAATCTTAAAGTAATTTTGCTTTGTGGAAACCCTATTCTGTCCTTTATGGTCACTGTGAATTGTAATTAACTAGGTGGCAGTTGTTGTTTTAGTGCCATTGAGTGAGTTCTGACTCAACAGCAACCCTGTATAGGGTTTCCAAGGAGCAGCTTATGGGTTTGAACTGCCAGTGTTGTGGTTAGCCATCCAGTGCGGATCCTACAGTCCCAGGTTTTATGAAAATAGAGATTTTTACTTATACAGCTAAGTGTGGCAATCTGAGAATGACAGTTAAATAAGAGGTAGGCCATATGTTATTCCAACTCAAATGAAATATCAGTTTTTACCAAAGAGGAATGTGGGCCATGACCATGTAATGTGACCTGCACCATCACTAATGTAGATCTATTAGAAAGAACCTGGGAAACATTAAGGTTTGGAGAAATTGGGTTTGATGATTAATGTTGAAAGGGCAACTAGTTCATATTTGAGTAGAAGTTTGTTCATATTTTTCTGAAGTAGCTCTCTACAACTGGCCAGCCAATTCACAAAATCATATAGACGAGTACTAGGAATGAAACAAATACATTTTTTTTGTTTTTTACAAATGGAGCTATTTTTATAGATGAGTCATAACAGCATCCCCTGTTGGCAGAAAATGATTCCTCTCAAAGATTATTTTCACCATCATCTGCCAGAGATGTTTGAGTCCTACCTTTCATCCTCATCTACCCACTGCTAATGCCATTTGCCTCATATGAGACTTTTTGCATACAGTGGTGGACCCTTGACCCATGAAGTTAGCGGTGGTGGAGTGTTCTTGAGAAAACTCAGCTCCAAAACAATTCTGAGGAAGGCCCCATTATGAGCGCTCATTAGACAATATTTGGCAAGGCTGGCTCTTTCAATATGAGCCAGAATCATTCTCCTTCCTGTCGGTAAGTGCTGAAATGGTGCTTCATCTTTACATGGACTTCTTTGCACCTAGATAGATGATTATTCACTTGAAAGACTTACTGTTTTCCTTTACAGATTCTATGGTTATCAGGTTCTGAAAGGAATTTTGTCCGATTTATGGCTCCTGGTTTTCAGCACGTAGGCCGATTACACACACTTGAGCAACTTGCAAAAGAAAATATAACATTTATAAATGTTGACTACAAGGAGCTGTTCTACAATGGGTTGAGGTAAGTAATTGACTATACCTTTCTTGGCATATTTTGTTTTTGTTCAAAATTCACATTTCAACTAAGCTACTTAGCCACTCTTTCCAAACTAAGGATTGCTATGTACAGTCATCTTCTTAGAGTAGCCTATTTCTCCTTTCTACTCTTCCTTCCCTTTTGCCGTTTCCCCACCTTCCTCTGCCAATAAACATTTATCAAGTGTAGATGATGTTCCTGGAACATAATTGTGTTTTTATTTTTTAAAGTTTTTATTGTGAACTGAGATAGTTTACATGGGAGAACATTGGCTTTACACAATCGTTTCATTGCAATGATTACAATTTCCTCTGTGCATCATCATTCAACAGTATTTGCTTCCAGTCCCTCTATTTTTTGGGTTTTTTTTTTGCTGGGGGGTGGGTGGTGGAGGAATGTACACAGAAACACTCAAGAATATATAATAATTTAAACAACCAAAGGACGTATTCTGAAAGCCTGCCTCCAACCAGTCCCTCACTTTCCATGAGTCCAAAGTCCTTAGCTGCTTTGTCTCTCCATGTCCCCATCTCTGCCTCTGTCTCTGGTGTTGCTGCCTCTCTGGATAGGGTTCCGCATTCTGCTTGTGCTCTTCTCCCTTGATGGTCTGAGGGTCCTCTGTTCCTGGACTATAAGATTTACTACTCTCCTGTTTTTGTTACAAAACTTCTACCTTTACAGTGAGACAGTCAAAATTAGTCATGATGACCGATTGAATCATAAGAATCTTATCCCCAACTCTTTTCACCAAACCCACCTAGACAAGGTGAAAACTATTCATTGGGGTCTCTACCTTCCACTGCACACTCTTAAGCTGAAGTCCCTCTTGAAAACTTGTAAGCCAGTCACTTCGTGCATTTTTTAGCCCCCACATTTTAGATAGTAAATGTGTAAGTTGCCCATCCATATCAACCCTCTATACAGAGGGGATAGGATTGATACTTGATGTGAAGACTCTTTCCCTCTCAGTTGGTATTTTGAGTTACTACATCCATAACTATAGGCCAAGTTTATCAATTTGTAGTTATTTTATTATTTTTTTAAAATCTTCTTCTAGTTGAGTTCTGATTATCAAGCTATCGAGGCTAGGTCAAATGGGTACTATCTTCAAGTTTGGGCATTCTTGTGTGTCTTCCCACAGTTCATATCAGCTGGATGCTTTACTCTCAGCTCTAGCCCTTCATGGCTGTCATTGTCCATGGGCTCAGGAGTCCCCAGGTCTCAACACAGTTTAGTCCAATCAGCGCTTCCTCTTCTCTCTCTCATCTCCAGGTTAACAGGAGTCAATGGACCGTGGTTGAACTCAGCCCATTTCTTCATTGCTGCCTTTCCCCCTCTTCCACTCACTAGTAGATCAGTGTGGTCACCAGCAAGCTTACATGCCTGCTTATGTGTTCCTTTTGAATTTCATTCTTGGAGAGGGGGTTGTTCTGAAAGAACTTGATTGCTTGTGTTGATGGTTCCCTGGCAAACAACTTGCTTGCCATTTTTGTTTTGGATTTTTCCTGCAGATCTTTCTTTGAAGATGTGTCTTCTGTTATTCTAGCTGTTCCAGGCTGGTCTGCTTGTCCTTTCTAGTGGGAATGTCGCACCTCAGAAGGTTCTGGATGAGGCCCAGAATTCCACCTAAGGTCCTATACACTGCAAAGGTTCTGCAAGAAGCCTATTTCACTGGACAAGTTCTAGAACCCCTTTTAGTTATGGAACTTAGTTTTAAGCCCCGTCTTTTATGTTTCCCAATCCCTCATCATTTGACCCAACTTTTTTTGTTGTGAAGTTTTTATTGTGGACTGGGTGAAGGTTTTACATGGTAGATTACTAGTTTTGCATTCAGGAAATCATACTTCACTTAAATGCAATAATTATAATCCCTTCCATGTACCATCAGTTAACAGTATTTTCCACTACTCCTTTTTTTTTTTCCTTTTAATTTACACATACAAACCAAAAAATATATATTCTTTTAAATGTCCTAGGGCACATTTTGCAAGCCTGTCTCCTGCCTGTAGGCAGACGGCCTTCCCTATTCTCCATGGGCCTAGAATCCTCAGCTGCTCTCTCTATGCCATCGTCTCTGCCACCAGTTGGAGTGAATAATTCAGTTATTCATTCTCTGCCCAGCTTTCGCATGCATGTGAGGTTATTGAAAATGCCATGGCTTGGATCAAGTTCACTTTAATCCTCAAGTTGAACTCTTTGCTCTTCAACTCTTTAAAGAGGTCTTATGCATTAAATTTGCCTAATGCAATACGTCGTTTGATTTCTTGACTGCCGCTTCCATGAGTGTTAATAGTTGATCCAAGAAGAATGAAATCCTTGTCAACTTCAATATTTTCTCCGTTGATAAGAATGTTGTTTATTGGTCCAGTAGTGAGGGATTTGTTTTCTTTACATTGTGATGTAATCCATACCGAAGGCTGTCCTCTTTGATCTTCATCAGTAAATTTTTCAGTACTCTTCACTTTCAGCAAGCAAGGTTGTATAATGCAAGTTGTTAGTGAGTCTTTCTCCAATCCTGATGCCACGTTTTTCTTCATATAATCCAGCCTCTTAGATTATTTGCTCAGCATACAGATTGAATAAATATGGTGGAAGAATACAATCCTGGCGCACACCTTTCTTAATTTTAAACCATTTGGTGTTCCCTTGTTCTGTTCAAAACTGCCTCTTGTTCTATGTTCTGTGTTCTATGCCTATGTTCTATGGACAGCATTGAGGAGAATGAGAACCTTACAGGTTCCTCATGAGCACGATTAAGTGTTCCAGAATACTCATTCTCCTCATTGTTGTCCATAGCATGTCATGAGCCACACAATCAAAGACCTTTGCATAGTCAATAAAGTACAGGTAGACATTTTTCTGGTATTCTCTGCTTTTAGGCAAGATCCATGTGACGTTAGCAATGATATCCCTCATTCCACGTACTCTTATGAATCTAACTTGAACTTCTGAATGTTCTTTGTCATTGTATGATTGAATCCATTTTTGTTTTATTTACTTTGCATGCAATATTAATGATATTGTCAGATGATTTCCAGATTTCGTTTGGTCACCTCTCTTTGGAATGGGCACATATATGGTTGTATTCCCATCAGCTGGCCACGTAGTTGTCTTCCTTATTTCTTGGCATAGATGAGTGAGTGCCTGCAGTGTTGCATCAGTTTATTGAAAGATTTCAATTTGTATTCCATCAATTCCTGGTGCCTTGTTCTTTGGCAATGTTTTCAATGCACCTTGGACTTCTTCCTTTGGTATCATTTGCCCTTGATCATATGCTACCTTTAGAAATGGTTGAACATTGATCATTTCTTTTTGGAACTGTATTTTGATGCTTTCTGCATCAATCAATATTTGGCCCATAGAATCCTTCAATATTGAAAATCAAGACTTGAAGTTTTTTCTTCAGTTTGCTCAGCTTGAGAAATATTGAGCCTGTTCTTCCCTTTTAGTTTTCTAGGTCTTTACACATTTCATTATAACATTTGAGTTTCTCTTATTGACCTGCCCTTTGAAATTTTCTGTTCAAGTCTTTTACCTTTAGCAATGATTATGAGTCTGGCACAGGATTGGGCAGTCTTTCATTCTGTTGTGCATAGGGTTGCTACAGCAGAAATGGATCAATAGCACCTAACATTAACATGTTATTAAGTACCATATTGTCAGTTCTTACTCATAGCGACCGTGTATAGAGTTCCCAAGGAGTGGCTGGTGGGTTTGAACCAACAACCCTGCAGTTATTAGTCCTGTCCTGCAACACCACATCAGAAAAACAACATAGTTTTCCTGAATTATTAGGATTTTGCTTGTGTATGCTTGATCACTTTGAGGGTCCCATATGTATGACTTTGAAATTCTTTCTAAGGTATTACCTTAGAAATTACCATTTCTTCCTCAGAAAGGTTTTCTACCTGTTTATTCTGCTCACTTGTTTGAGCTATCTTATCCTGTTTCTTCATGTTATTTGTTATTGTCTGTTATCTCCAAAGCATTATGTTTGGTGCTTGCAGTTGGTGCATTCTCTGGAAGTTGGGGCAGGGTATTTCCATATCTGTTGTGAGGTAGTGTTACCTAAATGGATTAGGTAGGTCTACTATACTTCCATGAACTGCCATCTCAGTAAGGGTTGAGGTGCTTGTGCAGATAGCCTGCAGGGAGTGTTTTTGTGTGGAATATGTACTGTTGCAGCTGGGTGGATATTTAGATCTGCTGCTCGTTGTTTAGCAAAGGTGTAGTTGGCACTTGTCAGAATTTGATGGTGTTGCTGGTGAGGTGATGTGTCTGGTTGACTGGTCACCTCGGTGTAAGTGCAGGGAGCATTGTTCCTGGTTGCTGGCTTGTGTGCTGTGTGTGTACACCACCAGTTGATGAATGATTTGGTCTAGGGTACACACAAGTCATCAGATGAGCAGAGTGACCCAGCAGTGGTCAGAATGAGAGAGCATGAGTCTCCCAGTTGTGGGTAATGAGTATGTGCCCTGGATCACCAGCAGGAATGACTGCGCTGTGGTGGATGAGGTGGTCACAAACCTCTGGCCTTTTCTTCTCCTCTTCTGAGGAGCACATACCACAGATTTCTGGCAGTGTGACTGCACAGGTATGGGCTGGAACAGTGTAAGCGTCAGATCACAGATCTGACAACAGGAACACACATACCATGGATCACTGGGGTGTGGAATGGCTCACTGCTGGTCACTATTAGGGAAAGGGGAGAAATTAAGACAGGGAATATATTCCTGTAATCTGTGGTGTGGGCCCTGGAGTACTACTGACAGAGTGCTGCCAACAATCAGGATCTGGCCTTGACTAAATACAAAGCTGAGGGAGCTGTCCAGATTCAGGTGGGGATCTGTAGCCACTCTAAGGTTCCTCCGTTCCACCAGTACCACACATAAATGTTCAGGAACGACCACTGATAATAGTTCTACACTACTAATAGTTCTGTACCTATTTTCTTCCTTCCTGCCTGGATACCTAGGGCTATCGCCCACCTTCCTGCAGTTTACCTCCTTAAATCCAGTTCTTGTTCTGCTCACCTTTTGTCATTATGTGTTTGTCTACAGGGTATCTCTGTCTCTTACTAGAGATTCTGTGAAGTTGCCTTGCTGTCTCAAGATGACCACACTGCACAGAGCTTGTTGATAGGATACCTATGTACCTAAATCTCCTTCTTTGCTGTTTTCATTCAGTTTGTCCTTTCCTTCAGTGTCCAATCTAATTCTTCATTCTTTTGCTTACTGCTCTGGTTGTCCAGATTGTCATGTCTCTCTTTTTTAATTACTTTCTCAGTTCTTTGCTTCAGGGGGATGGCAAGATATGTATGACTAAGCCATCCTCTGGGGCTGTCTCTACACATTTAATAAATGCACATATATTCCATACACCTGTACAAGTCTTGGGGAAAAAAACTTTCAGTCTAACCATCTGTTGTTTCAAAGTGAGCAAATTCCTTATGAATACAGGAGGAAGCATTCTTGAGAGGTTAATGCGGTTTGCAGGGCTATACTTAATCATAATATGCCCAGAAGTCTTGACCAAGTATCTCGTCTTCTGAAAACCAAACACCAAACCTAATGTCATGGAGTTGATTCTGATAGGACAGAGTAGAACTGCTCCTTAGGGTTTCCATGTCTGTAAGTCTGTACAAGAGCAGATAACCTCATCTTTCTCCCACAGACTAGCTGGTGGGTTTGAACCGCCAATCATGAGGTTAGCAGCCCAACACTTAACCCATTGTGCCACTAGGTTCAGTTTCAGGCTTCTGAAAGGGTGTTAATTTTCATTTTAATAATCTGATAAGGGTCTAATATCCAAAATATATATTTTTAAATGTCTATGACTTAACCATAAAAAAACACACAACCCATTCAAAAACTGGACAAAAGCTTTGAACAGACATTTCACCAAGGAATAAATACTGTTTTTATTTTTGAGAAACTGCCAAACTGTTTTTCCCAGTGGCTTCACCGTTTTACATTCCTACCAGCAATACATGAGGATTCCGATTTCTCCATATCCTCACCAGTAATTGTTTTCCATTTTTGTTTGTTTTTATTATAGCCTTCCTAATAATGAATGTGAAATTGTACCTCACTGTGAATTTTCAAAAATATTTGTTTTTTTATTGAGGTTTTAAAATATACATAGCATAAAATTTGCCATTGTAAGTATTTTAAAGTGTACAAGTTAGCAGCATTACGTACAAGTAGTGTTGTGCAACCGTCATCACTAATTCCAGAACTTTTTCATCCAAACAGAAATCTTACACTCATTAAGCAGTCAGTCCACATTCTTCTAGCACCCTAATAACCCCTGACACAGATCTGCTTTCTATAAATTTACGTATTTTGTGTAAGTCATATAAATGGAATCACATAGTGTGTGGTCTTTGCTATCTAGCTTCTCTCATTTAGCATGTTTTTGAGGTTCATTCACAGTGTAGAGGTGTCAGTATGCCGTTCTCTTTTATGACTGAAAAAAATGTATCCATCTGCCCACTCTATCAATAGAATGCAGTTCAACTGATGGACATGTGTGTTGTTCACCTTTTGGATGTTGTGAATAGTTCTTTGAATATCTGTGTTAAATACTTTAAGGTATATGCCTCAGAGGGGAATTACTGAATCATATGTTAACTCCATGCTTACCTTTTTAAGAAATCACCAACTGTTTTCCAGTGATAGAATTTTTGCAAACTGGCTATCATTGAAGTAGTTACACCATGGAAATTGGCGAATACTACAGCTAGAACTTTCCCCTCTCTCTTTTTCCTTAGGAAAAACCAGTTTACCAGCACACTACTGCTGCTAAGGGAGCAGGGAAGAACCTTTATCCCATTGCAATGTGAGCCCATTCTGTCATACCTCGTCATAAGTTATCCCAGGACCTACTGTTTCTGGTGATTTAGACAGCAGCCTTTCATTAACATGGTGACTTTTCCTTCTTTAGATAATGAGAGTGAGACAAGATCTAAATTCTTTGTGGGTTCTGTTTTCATTCCAGAGACTATAAAGCAGCTAACATCACCATCAACTTATACCTCGTCAATAAGCCTTGGCTCTTCTCATTGGCCTGGTGTTCCAGAATTCATTCAGTAACCACTGATGATATTAAGCTCTTGAGTCAGATTGATCACCCTCATTTCTTCATGGTGAGCTAGTTATCCATATTGTTTGTCTGAGCCTGGTGCAATATGAATCTATGACCACCCACCTTGCCCTACATTACCCACTGTGCAGTCCACTGGGGAGCTACTAAGAGATTTCTTTGGTATTAGAGATGTACCATTTCCTCTTCTCTCACCTAGATCCTTCTGTGATTTTAAGGGGGAGATTAATTGATGTTGATATAATTATTGCAATTTATTGAATCCTTTTAATGTGCTTTAGGTGTATTGTACAATATAAGCCTCTGAGTTAGCTATTGTTATTATTTCCATAAGGAAATTGAAGCTCATTGTACAAGGGCACATGATGTGGGATTCAGAATAAGATGTGACTGCAGTTTAGTTACTTGCCTGAAGACATGGAAACAATGAATAATGTCAGAGGGTACAGGGAAAACCAAGTATACTGAACAAAATCCATAAGTAACCATCACAAATGGCTTCAAATAAGTAATCATTACAATACCTTAGCCAAAAATCCATTGGGACTATTTGTGTGGGTCTGTTTTGGGGCTTGTATTTTGTTGCAATGAAGTAAAAACTGTGTATCCTGAACAAAACACATCTGAAGAAGGCAGACAGTATCATTCCGCCACAGCCACTGCTCATTGCCAGAGGCTTTTATCTTGCTTGGGTAAGGAAAAGATTGACCAACTGAAACACAACAGCATACAAGCAGAAAACTGTTTGAAATTTCTTTAAAACTTCTCTGTAAGCCAGGCCTTTCCCTCCTCTAAATGAAATAACAATTCGATCCCATAGTTGTGGGGTTTTAAAAAATGTTTTATTGTGAATTATGTGATAGTTTACATGGGAGAGCAGTAGCTTTACATTCATCCTATCGTATTTCGTTTCATTGCCACGGTTACAATCCCCTCCATGCATCATCAACCAAACAAAGGGTACACACTACAAGCCTCCCCACCCCACCCCCAGTGGGTCATCAGCACACAGCCCCTCTCCGTCTCCATCTCAGGTCTCGCTGCTTCTCTGGGTAGGGTCCCACTCTCCGCTCTTCTCCCTTGATGGTCCCAGGGACCTCTGCTCCTAGACTGAAAAGTTAATCACTCCCCTCCTTGCTACAGAACGTCTACCTTTACATTTCCAACCCTCACAATCAGTCCTGATAACAAGTATTCACTATTGTATCACAAGAGACCTCTATTGTATCACAAGAGACCTATCCACATTTCCTTTTATCAGCCCCACCTAGACAGATTGGATACTAGAGATTCTACCTTCCTTCACACCCTCTGAATTTACATTCCTTCTTGCAAGCTTGTAAGACAGTCACTTCTTGCCTTTGTAGCACCCCCATTTTGGGTAGCCAGTGTCCAAGTTTCCCCTCCCTGTTTACTCTGTATATGGAGGGGGTTGGAATGATCCTTGCTGTAAAGATTTGTTGCACCATAGGTATAGGTCAAGTTCATCAAATTGTATCAGATTACGTTTTTCCCTTTTCTTTCTTCTAGTTGAGCTCTGATCATTGAGTCATTGAAGCCAGGTTAAGTGGGTATTATCTGCAAGTTTGGGTGTTCTTGTGTATATGCCCTCTCTTCTTATCCTCTATGGTTATGTCACTGACTCTGGGACCAAGAGTCCCCAGGTCTTGCCACACTGTTGGCCAACCAGATCTCCACCCAGGTTCACAGGAATCTATTGAACGTTGTAGGGTTTAGCTCATAGCTTCATTGCTGTTTTTCCCTCACTTCCCCTTATCGGTGATGAATGTAGTCACCAATCAGAGTGTGTATTCCCATTGAGTCTTAGTCTTGGAAGAGGGTTTGCTTTGAGGGGACACAACCACTTACTTGTTCTTGTAGTAACAATCGGGCTGCCTATATTGTTTTGTATTTTTCCTGTCGGTCTTTCTTTCACGGAGTATCTTCTATTCTTCTAGCCACTCCAGGCTGGTTACTTGTCCTTTCAAGTGGAAATTTCCCACCTCTGAAGATTCTGCATGTGGTTCAGGATTCCACCTATAGTCTTCTGTAATGCAGATGCTCCGCAGGAAACTTCCTTCACTGGGCACATTGTAGCCCCATTTTAGGTATTCCAATCAGTTATAGGCAGAGGACGGACTTATAAGCTTTCCATGGTGATATTTCTGGCTATTCCTTTCTCTCCCCGTCCAGTGTCTATTTTATAATATAATGCAAGGAAAACCAAGATTCAAAAGACAGCCAAGCATCTTAAAATTATTTCCCCATTTCAACTATGTCTCAATCTCTGTATCCCACAGCCCTGTTGTTCCAAGGTTGTGCATACATCATTATTTACCTTTAGCCCATGCAAACCTGCCTAATTGTTCTCCCATTTGCTCTTCTTCTTGTTATTTTGATTCTTTCTTCTTTTTGGATTTATTGTACATTTATTGCAATAAATTATCCTCTCAGCACCGTTTTCGCCGTGTCCCAAATATTTTGATATGTTGTGTTTTCATTCCCATTTATTTCTAGGAACTTTGTGAATTCACATTTAATTTCTTCTACTACCTAGTTGCTTTTCAGCAGATTGTTTAGTTTCCATGTATTTGACTTGATTTCCTTGGTCTTCCTATTGTTGATTTCTAATTTGATAGCATTGTGGTCTGAGAAGATGCTTTGTAGTATTTTGATTTTTGTGACCTAAGACATGGTCTACTCTGGAGAATGTTCCATGTGCACTGGGAAAAAATGTGTATTGTGCAGTTGTTGGGTTGAATGCTCTGTACACATCTATGAGGGCCAGTTGGCTGATTGTGTTGTTTAGTTCTTCTGTGTCTTTGTCAAGTTTCTTTCTGGTTATTGTATCCATTTTTGAAAGTGGTGTGTTAAAATCGCCCACTATTATTGTAGATTCATCTATTTCTTTCTTCAAATCTATTAGAGTTTAGTTTTCTTTGTATATTTTGGAGCTCATTCATTGGGTGCATAGATACTTATTATGGTTATTTCATCTTGTTCAATTGTCCCTTTTATCATGAGATAATGTCCATCTTTATCTATTATGCTGGTTTTTGCCTTAATTTTATCAGAGATTGTATTTTTTTCCATCCTTTGACTTTTAATCTGTTTTTGTTTGTGGGTGTGAGATGTGTGTGTTGCAGACAGCATATTGAAGGATCTTGTTTTCTTATCCATTTTGCCTCTTAACTGGTGCATTTAATCCATTTACATTCAGTGTAATTATCAATAGGTATGGATTAATTGCTGCCATTATGTTTGGGTTTTTTTGTGGTGTTGCTGCTTTCTTTGTTCTGTGTATCTTTCTTGTGAGTTTCCTCATAGCTTTAATGTTTCCATGTTGTGAAGTGTTAATTTTCTTTGAGGTTGGCTTATAGTCCGTTAACTTTTCTCTCCATTTAGTGCAGTCTATTTTATCCTGTAATTGACCTGACCTTCTTACTATCTGGATCTCTGTTCCTAAGTGTTTACCTTCTATTACATTGTACTTGTTTTGATCATAGACTGACCTCCCAGCTTCTCTGAGTTTGTTCTGTTCTCGACTCTTTCTTCTGTCGGCTTAATTCTGGGAGGTGCTGCCACGCATGTCAATCTCTGGTTGTTGTCTGTTCTTGTTGGTTCTCAGTCCACAGATCTCTCCCTTTAGGATATTTTGTAGCACAGGGCTGGCTTTGGCAAAATCTCTCAGTTTCTGTTGTTTATCCTGGAATGTTATGAATACACTGTTATATTTGATTGATAGTTTTGCTGGATGAAGGATTCTTCGTTGGCAATTTTTTTCTTTCAGGGTTTTATGTATGTCGCCCCATTGCCTTCTCCCTTGCATGGATTCTGCTGAGAGATGCGAGCTTAATCTGATTGCTTGCCTTTGTATGTGACACTTCTGTTTTCAGAAGTGTCTCCTTATCTTTGATTTTGGAGAGCTTGATTATAATATGTCTTGGTGATTTTCTTTTGGAGTCTATCCTTCCTGGAGTTTGTTGAGCTTCTTGAATGTTTACCATTTCACTTTTCAGAATGTTGAAGAACTACTGGAAGAAAATTTCTCTAACTGTTTCCTCTGTTGACTTGTTATTCCTCTTCAAATTGTCCAACATGAATCTTAGACCTTCTTCAGATTTTTTTAATCCCTTTTTGTGTTTGTTCTTCTATCTTAGTGGTTTTGAGAGATTATTATCCATTTCTGATATTTACTTATTAATCATTTGGACCTCTTTCTGAAGGTTTTGAATTGTTTCCAATGCTCTATCTATATTATTTGATTGTTCCTGTAGTGCTTCTCAACTCCATTGTAAAGTGTTTTGAAACATTTTATAATCATTTTTTCTGAATTCCTTCTCAAAGGCCTGCCCTCCCTTCCAGAATGGAGTCTAGGTCATTTGTCTCAGACATTTTATCTTGTTTCTGGACATGTGTTGATGTGGTCATTTGCTTTTGCTTCTTGTACATGTTTAGTGTTTATCTGTGGCCTTAATACTTAATTATGTGTTTTGGTATTTTTTATGGTTTCTGATTGCTTCCACAAAGATGTGATCAGGATGTAGGCTTCCTTTTTCACTCTTCTTATTGCTTAACTCAGACAACACCTGTGAAAGCTACTCTGTTTCCCTGGTGTATGGCAGTTGGTATTGGTGTTTTATAGAATGTGATTGTAGCTTGGCTATATGGCAGCAGTTGCTGACTCTTTCTTGTGTAATATAAGAAGGGTAGGCATATATAATAGCAAAACAGCACCAGCAGGGCAAAAAAAACAGTAACAACAAAAACTAGACTGAATACTGCAGTCTGTAATCACTGAAAAGGGAGAGGAGGAAAAAAAAAATCTGTAGCCTAGTATGAGTATGACTGTAATGTCCTCTCTTCAGCTTCTTGCTTTCAAAGCTACCTGAGAGATTTCAAGATGCCAGTGTTGGTTATTATGGTATACCTCAGGCTTTAACTTTCGGCCTGTTTTTTTTTTTTTTTTTAAACTCTCTTTCCCTCGTTACAGCCCTGTCCTGCCCTTTCCCGTATTTAAAAACAAAACAAAAGTTCAGGGAT